CAGGTCACATAAGCGTGGCAGGCACTGCCAGGAGTATCAGAGTGGGTTATGAAATCAATAAAGAATGGCTACACACTTCAGTTCTTCCGCAGGCCGCCCCGTTTCAACGGTGTGCTAATGTCCACTGTACGGGAGCGGAATGCCTTAGTTCTGGAAGAGGAAATACACAACCTCCTCGCAAAACGCGCTATAGAGACAGTGCCCCTAGCAGACTGCGAGAGCGGCTTCTAAAGTCGCTATTTTCTGGTACCAAAGACGGCGGACTCCGCCCAATCTTGGACCTGAGACCGCTGAATCGCGCACTTTCGAAGCGCTCGTTCAAAATGATTATGCTGAGACAAATCCTCTCACACATCAGACCGAGAGATTGGTTTATCTCTGTGGTCGGACTGCCCCCACTGTGGAGATATGAGCCTCCGGAATCTCAAGCTCCGTGTGGCCATCGTCCAAGGCACTGAACTCGCCCAACTAGCCCTGCCGCGCTTTTCCTCTGCAGCCTCTTTCGAGCCAAGGAGGAAAGTGCCGCGAGCTTCTGATGCGGATCTGTCAGGGTCAGGTGACAAGCCCGCGCCTGCTCAGTGCCCACGCGCTCCTCAGCCCCCTCCTGCAGGCCCCCTTCCAGTGCGCTTCATGACCGCTGATCTCCGCCCCTCCCCCGACGCTCAAGATGTGGTGTCCTTCGGCGCCATGGAGGGCGCTGAAGAGAAGGATGATGCCATTTTGGCCAGCGCCGAAGACGAGCCACCGAATTCAAAATGATTACACTGAGACAAATCCTCTCACACATCAGACCGAGAGATTGTTTTATCTCTGTGGATTTAGAGGATGCTTATTTTCACATTCAGGTAGCCCCTCGCCACAGGCGTTTCCTGAGATTTACATTTGAGGGGATAGCGTACCAATTCACGGTCCTACCCTTCGGTTTATCCCTGGCCCCTTGTACGTTTATGAAATGCATGGATGCCACTCTCTCTACTCTGAAGCAGAGCGGAATGCGCATCCTGAACTATCTCGACGATTGGCTAGTCTTAGCCCAATCAGAGAGCACGCTTCTCACCGACAAGCTCAGACTCCTCGATCATCTTCAGAGCTTAGGGCTGACTGTGAATATGCAAAAGAGCATGCTGGTACCGAGCCAGAAGCGACTCCTGGGATGCGCTGACCCCTTGGCGCAATATGGCTCTGTATCGCTGGGGTGTTCTTATTGGCCAAGTGATCAGGAGAAAGACTGTTACAACAGATGCATCGAGCACGGGCTGGGGAACCGTATGCGACGGCA